TCTAAATTACAGTCAGATGCTAAGGAACTTGATATGGAACAACCTTAGGAAGGATGAATATTCTGGAGTAAGGACTTACACTCAGAAAGTAAAGGATGTAATACTACAGGCACACAATGTAATCCTTCAGGCAAGGGTAAAGCAAACTAGATATGCTAATAGACACAGACAACCCTCTTCCTTCAAATTAAACAATCTAGTGTATGTTTCTACAAAGAACATGAATCTACTGAGACAGTGAGTAAGGAAACTAGTACCAAAGTACATAGGACCTTACAGAATAATCCAGAATGCAGGAAACAAGGTATTTGAACTAGATCTACCTAGGGAAATGAGGAATCATAACATACATCCAGTATTTCATTCATCACTACTTAGGATACATGTTCCAAACAACAATAGATTATTCCCTGGAAGGGAAGTAGGACAAGTTACTGGATTAAACAATGAGAACAAGGAATGGACAGTAGATTCGATTGAAACTCATGCAGGACAAGGGACTACCACCTTGTTCAAAGTACTATGGAAGTCCAGAGATCACACATGGCTACCCTATGATAAAATTGCACACCTTGAGGCATTAAAGGAATACTTAGACATACTTGGAATCAATTCTATTGATACACTAACTCTAGGAAAGGGAAAACTCGATACTGATGACCCTCAGGTTAGTATCAGTCTAGTAAAACATGAGGCAACCTTTCAAACACAATGCTACAGCATGGACATACAGGTAGACATACACAAAGGCTTTAAAAACTACACATATAGTCACTTTACTATACATATTATGTCTACTACTCAAGAATCTGTTGCTCATACCTTTGCATCTGCTTTTCTACAAGGCACAAATATGCCTCATCCTCCTCTACAACTCTTAGTTGGCCCTCAAGCACAACCAATCACACAGGATTGGGTTACTCACAACCACAGTACAAGTACTGACTATGTTTTCAATTGAGAGGAGCTCAAGGAGATTGTAGCTTTCTCCAGGGCTATCCACAACAATTCCCTTGACCCTAGTATACAACTCCTGGAGTGTTATCTCATTGTATTATGCTTGTATAACTTCCATGTTCCTTCTCATGCAAGACTGAGCCTGCTACCACTGTTCCAAAACCACATTCAACATGCTAAGATGATGCAAGTGTCCCAGGACTTTGTATACTGTAAGAACATGGCTTTGAACCAAGGTAAATGTGCATATATTCTGCATTATATTATTACAAGCATATATACCTTACTGTTTTACTTAGGTGCAAAGTGTAGAGCTGAGCAAATTGACAATGGAACTGCTATATTCCACTCATGCAACTGTAAACGTCCTTGGATCGATTCGCAATTGCCCTCAACGTCCACCAATCTTACTTTGGTACTTGATATGAGTGCTCTGAGCTCATTCAACACTCAAGGCATTACTCTACTGCCGAATCTGCTGCTTTCTGCTCAATCCAATGGCCATTCCAACCAATCTGCTGCAAGTTCCACCAGTTCTGCTACAGAACATGTCCAAGCCAGACAGGAACACATCCAGTCCACTACAGGACTGATTGAAGACACATCCATGGCTGTAGAGAACGTCCTAGTGCAGCAGTACTGAACTTTGTAGTAAGTTACTAACGTTTTCTTTCGTTTTTGTGTTGTTATTTTGTTTATTCTAGTACTAACTCCCTTAGCATTTAGGACTAAATGCTGGAGGGCAAGTGTAATGATTACACTACCTGTGCATTTGTGTGACATGTGTTGTAGGTGCTTGTGGGTGTTTTCCTTTTTGTTCACTAGACTACCCTGTATCCTACTACACATGTATACACATATATAAAGGGTTTTTGAGCTAAGGGTTAGGGGATTCTTTCTCCTTCTCAGTGCTCGATTACTAGGTTATCCCAGTCAGTAGTTGAGTGTGCTAGTAAAGAGAGAATCTTTGTGTAAGGCTAGTATACCTATCCTTACAAAGAGCTAACATATTTGTTTGAGTGTGTCTCTGTACCTGTACATTATAAATGTTATAAGTGAATGTAATAGTGTGTAAAAACAACAAGATGACTCACTTGATTTGCTTTGAACAGTTAGATTTTGTTACAAGGCTCCTCTCCTTAAGTGTTTACTGTTTTGAAGGTAGTAGGACACTTGGTAGAGAAGGAACCTTACTCAGGTCAAGGCTTAGTGCTTGTCCTTAGTTGAGAGGGGGTAGGGAGGACAACCTGAGTTTGTATAAGTGAAAACAAACTAGTATATTGAGTAACTTGAGAGGAAGATGGATCAAGACAAGAGAACAAGAACTGAGAGTACTAGAGATAGTATGAGAGTAAGTCAGCAAAGTCTAGCAAGTTATTAAAAGTGATTCAAGGAACAGTACTGACTAAGATACTACTAACAAGTAGTAATATTAATACTTTCTGTGTCAAAGATAGAAAGAGGATGAAAAGAGTGAGTGAGTGAGGACAAGGAAGTAAGGCAACTATGACTGAGGGTGAGAGCCTGAGAGTGTTGACAATAAGAGCTCTTGTAGGGGGGGGAAGGACTTATCTAGCAAAAATATACTAGGAAAAGTAAGTGTATCCAAAATGAGAGGATTTAATATACCTAAAATAAGAAGTATACAGTCACTTGGCTGCTAGTACTCTACATACACTACACATAGTCTTACACACATAAAATACTTAGCTTAGACATGTGTAAATTCAGTGTTTCAGCTGTATATTTAGTGACATTCAATAAACATGTAAATTGACTAGCTTGAAATCATTAATATTAGTCTGTATCCAAGCTAGGGGTCAAATATTAGCTAAGCTGCTAGAGAACTTCAAGTTAGCTTTATGTACAGAATTGAAAGCATCTTTCATAACATACAGTAGGCTGTAATTATAATAATAGACTTTATACAGTTTGAATGTAGAACCTACTTACTATTAAAGTTAACATATGAGTAGATCTGATACTACTTAGCAATCAAGAAAATGCTTGCCATTTTCCTTCTAGTCTAGTAGTACTTCTCAATTTACTTACACTAAGATACTTGCACTTTAGTATAGAGGACAGTACTATTATTGTAGGACTATAGTGTACCTTAATACTTACTATATAGAGTATACATCTGTACAAGTCTTAGGAAGAGGTCTGACCCACTTCTCAGACTTGTACTAAGAGTAGAAAATAATGATTACTCACTTAAAGCAAATGCAAATTATTAAGAAGATAGAGATGAACTATACAAAGTAATAAACAATGTCTAGTAGTGTTACAAATAGTGATTACTATGATTTGTACAGCTTGTGTAAGTCTTCTTTCTCAATTCTTACTACTTTCTAGAGTACTCTCAGGCTAGCACAGTCTCAGACTTGTGTCACAACCTGTGTACAAGGTAGTAAGGGAAGTAAATTGAGAAGGGCTGATATGAGCTTCAATATTCTTCTACAGTTTACTGTATAAGTACATATACTGTCACAGTAAGCATATCTGTAAATTACACTACTGTGAGAGAGTACTAACAGTAGTAGTACATATTACTGTATCTAAATCTTAGTCCTAGTCAGTAAAGATCACTAATATTGATCTATCTTGTTGTAAACCTCTGTACATCAGATACTAGTAAAGTAGACACTCAAAGGTATATGTCAGACTAGACTGTACTTCTCTAACTCTTTAAGATGCTTTCCTTTGTTTGTAAGGCTTGTAGTAAGGTCTTTAAGAAGAAGAATGTATGAGCAATCTATCACAATTATTGTGTTAATACAAGTAGTAGTCTGAACTCTCTAAAATGTATTAGAGAGTCAAATAACAAAGTGAAAAAGAGAATAAGGTTAGGTATGTGTGATAGTATCTTGATTCTTAGACAATACTCACCATTTTGTGTAGCTGAGACCCAGGTGTTCAAAGTAGAGGATAATACTTAGACTGTTCCAGCCCTATTTGACAAGCCTCTTAAGTTTCCTAAAGGAACTAAATGTAAGAAACAACTACTAAAGCAATTTACAGATCTCCTACCATTTACTTTAAACTTGTCTGTACTTCCTACTGTATCTCTTCTACACCTTCTTAAGTTCATACTATCTTAGCTTCCTTCTCTACTGTCTCAAGTCCCCTCTCTAACTCTAGCAACTCTAGAAATTGTGTAAGGAACAAGAAGGAGGCTCTTTTTGTCTGAGCTAAACAAATATGAGTTGCTTCAAGAGTACCCAGATTTGTCAGATGACTTCCCTGACAAGATGCTTGACTTTGAGGACTTATACAACTTACCTGGACTTTCTACAGGTGATACTCTGACTCAAATGTCCTTACTCCCTAAACTTATTACTAATAAATATGTACTGTTTAATAATGTAGTAACTTACCTTTTAACAAGCTGGGCAAATCACAAAGTAAAAGAAAAGACAAATAACAAGCTGAATGTTCTTGTGTATAAAGTCTTACTTTATCCAGACTTCAAGCTATTAGACTTAGTAAACTACAGAGTAAGGTGAGAGAATTCACATATTAACAGTCTATACTATAATAATGATTCCCCTGAGTCTTCCCATTCTAATGACTAGTGTGAAGGATTGGTTAAGATCAAGCTACCTTCTAAAGACAATAAGAAGTAGTCTAAGAGCAAAGAAAGAGCTCCTGAATTTGAAGTCAGGGGAATATACTACTAGCTCTTACTAACAACAATCTTCAAAGCCTTAAACAACCCTTGTTCTCCTCCTTTTCATTATATGCCTTATAGGGAGCTTTAGAGACTAACAGTATATATAGTATTAGAGCTGTATAGTAAACTTTCTACTAACCCTTAATTATCTCTCCTCTTCCTTAAGTACAACTCTCCTCCTAAACACATTTATAGTGAACTATATTGCTCAGATTATTAGTTGGAAGCCTACAAAGAAGTACAAAGCTTTCTAATGTAAGACAGTACTGAAAACTTTGTACTTCCTCTTATTCTCTATTTAGACTCAATGTATCTTGAAAATTTCAGTTCTGTATCACTTTAGCTAATATACATGTACTTTAGAGGCTAATCTAAGTATATACATTATAAATCTTTACAGACAGCTTGCTATCATCTAGCATATATTCCTTTAGTAAGTACATTCCTTCTATATTTCTACTGTTCTTTGTAATACATGTTCTAACATACAGTATTTACATTAATAAAGCTCTCAGCATTAGTTCAAGATACATATAATAAGGTTTATAAACAATCTGCATCTTTGGAACTCCTTACTCACTTAAAGTACAAACTATTTCAAGCTGTCTTGTCCTATATCCTCTTACAGCCTGAAATTCTCAAGGCATACAGCTCTAGTATTCTATTCAACTACTTAGATGGAAAATTATGTAGGCTCTTCCTAAGGTTTGCTTTTTACTTAGCAGACTACTCTAAGAAGTATGTCTTGTATCTATTTACTATCTTCTTGTTTGTATACACTACAATCTTTACCTCAATTTACACAAGGATAACTGAACATTACTATAGGATACTCATTACTAGCTTACATGTTTTAGGCAAATTCTCAAGCCTTACAGATATTATGCTAACCAAATTCAACCATATACTTAGTACTAGAGCTAATCAACAAAGACAAACTTGCAAATGTATTAATGATACAGTACAGTAAGAGAAGATTTCTAGGGCACAACAGTAGATTTTTCAATTAGGGAAGCCTGTAGAATCCACCTGGATAAAAAATCTCCTTAAGGATGGATTCCTCATACTAGTTAATGTAAGTAAACTGTTACTATCCAGGTAATGCTCCTTATTACTCACTTATCTTATTTTTATAGAATGCTTTTTCTGTGCTTTGCAAGCACAGATTCAATTTCTTTGACTTATTTGTTCCAGACTCTATGTACAAATTTGAGCTGAGGGTCTGAAAAGCAATATTTACCCACCTCTTACACATTCTTTTTGTGTAGGGAGGAGAGAGTATACTAATACTTAATAGGAGGTAAGCATCTATGTTACAGCCTCATCAATTGCCTTACTGTTGTCTATTTAGATATATTCATTATATTTTAGGTATCACCATACTCTTACATTTAGAATGGATACAATCCAGCAATTTTCTGGAAATATGTTTATAATGAAAAAAATTGTAGCCAGAGACTTCAAAGATATTCTACAGGTAAGTGCCTCCCTCAAGACTATTAATATATATGTACTACAATAGGATGTGTATTACCTAGTGTGTCATACTAGCCTTTAAGGATTTACTACTAAAGAAATATAATAAAGTAGTCCTTAACCTTTTATTCATTTTAGCAACCTAGCATACACTTACAAAGCTTTACATTCATACAGAGACTATGGTTCAGTTCCTTGAGGAGACAACAACATTGCTAAGATACTAGGTACAATGCTTTAAGAAGACTGTATACTTAGCCTATAATACACACAAACTCTTAAAGGAGATTACTACTCAAGGATGTTGTCAAGCTGCCCTACTCAATAAGGGTAAGGTAAAGGGACTGGATACAAAAACAATCAGATCTAGTGTGAAAACTAAAACACTCAACATTAATACACTGAAATTTTATTCTCTTAGTACATATGCTTCTACCATTCATTAATTTGGTATGACTAATTCATACAGTACACAAATTGTTAAGTGTCTACTTTACAATACACTCTCTATACTTATCTCAATTGTGTATCTTTACAGGGGGAGTCTCAGTATAGGAGACTTAAACACATGTATGCTAGGACAAACAAGTGAGATACTACAAAGGCAGTTTCACAACTAGAGGGTAAGACCTATAAGATATGTGAGATTAATTCTTGTATTAGCCTTAATGATGGATCTAGGGATCCTATCAAGTCAAGGGATCTTAAAGTCTATTATAACATAGTAGTATTAAAAAAGGATTCTATCCATCTTTATTAGTGGCTTTCAGATAATGATTCTGACCCAGCTTTACAGGTGAGTACATTATTAGTCTCCTCTTTCTATTTCACATATACAAGTACTGATACATTACACACTTGCTAGAATTTCCTGCCAAGTCTTTACAGGCACCTACTTGGATGCATTCTCTTAAGACAGGAAGACAAGGCCTTCACTACAGACAAGCTATACAGCCTCTACATAAAAAATGACAAGCTTTTCTGTCTCAAGGTGCTATACATTAATTACACAACTTACAACATTAGGAGAGCCTAAGATTCACTCAATCTACAGATGCATGCTGATATTATGTTACTATTAGATAACACTGAACATCCCTACATTTATGCTTGAATAATCAGACTTTTTCATACAGAGGTCAGTTATATGAGTCTAGAGGCTGACCCCAACTTCTAAAACTTTAATCAGCTCAATTTTGCTTAGGTTTGCTAGATGAAAGTCAATGAGAATAGCTTGTTTGTTAAGAGATGACTCCCTTGATTACAATTCTATTATCATACAGATCCTAGTACCTTTGAATTTATTGACCCAGACCTTATTCTTTAAGGTGCTCATCTAATCCTACAATTCTCTAAGGGTACTGTCCAGACACTCTTGCCTCCATCTCTTACTTACCAACCCAAAGATAAGAACAAAGATTACAAATTTTACTTTGTAAACGTGTAAGTATGTTGTTAAGGCTTTCAAATTTGGAACATATTAATACTGAGTCATTTTTAGTCCAATTTACTACAGATTTGTTAATAGGGACATGTTTATACACTATTAAGGCAGAGGAATCAGACACAAAAGTATGTGGCATTTAAATAGCTACCTACTACATGACACACTACAAGAACAAAACAACAACAAGATGGATGGTGAAGTATTGGAAGAGGAGGAGGAGACTGATAGTAATGACAAGAATCTTAAAAGTAAAGAACAGAATGATGAGGAAGGTGAATCAGACAGTTATACAGACCTGTAGTGAATATTAGATGTGCCATTTACATGTAAGGTAATTTTGTAGTCATGTGTAACAAATGACAATCTGTTGATCATCTACATGACTGTTTTTGCTAATTGAATATGGCACTGTGAGTATTCTACTAGGCTGATTCCTTCTTACCATCTTACCAACTTTTGTAGTAAGTAAAATGAATCTTCTTTTAATGGGTGCCATCTATGCCTCCATCTTGGCTCAGTTTGCACTAACTGTAGTGTTCTTCAGAGCAATCCTTGACTTTACTACTATCACACAGTTTCTCACAGTTTGTAGAATAGAGAGTACTACATGTGTTACTACTGTTTTTACAGATTCTTTCATTACTGTCACTATACTCTATTTGCTGTGTCATATGTCTGTTAGTAATCTTTAATACACTACTACTGTCTGATTTGAGCATATACAGAATTTGTAAGGTTGTTTAGAGACTCAGAACAATAAGAATAGCTATTAGGTCAAAGTTTGCAAGTAGTATAGTATAACTCAACAGTTTCATCAAGATCTTCTAGCCATTCATACTGCTTGTATCTCTTGCTTTGTTATCTTGCTTACTTTGTTGTCTCTCACAGTACTCTCTAAACACACTTTCACTCAGGCTTGGCTCTGTAATAAGTAGTAACAACTCTTGATCCCTTATTAATAATCTGCTCAATGTTGACTTTAATAAACTTGCTGAGTACTATTTGCAGCCTCATACAGCACTCTCCAGACACACTTTCACTCAGACTTGGCTCTGTAACAAGTAGTGATGACTCTCAATCCCTTATCAATAATTTGCTCAATGTTGACTTTGATAACATACTTGTGTTCCTTTTGCTTTATAGTTACACACACACACTCCTAACAACTTGTATTCACAATTACCTTTAGTAAGTCCCTTCCCTCACTTGCATTTGACCTGAGATCTCTAGACTTACTTCTTATCTTACACAGTACTCTCTACACCCACCCCCTCTCTGTTTTTTGGGCCAATCCAGACATGTACAAAACAAAGGATGTAAAACATGTATCCTGTAAGGCTGACACTAATAAAATTCTGGGAGTGCTTAGGGAAGCACTCCCAGATTGTTATAGCTGTATTAAAACAGTTAAAATTGTGTAAGTTCTTATATTTTTTACTTTTTTCTACTACTAACATTATTATTATTATTATTAGGGGTAGTATTCATGAGTCAGGTAATGACAATACTCTACACCTTCTAATAAGATGTTTTAGGAAGAAGAAATTGGTAGGATCTATACACTTGCCTTTTGTTAATAATGTGAGTTTTTTTTACCTTTGTCTTGTCTTTCTTTACTAATATTATCTTAAGGAATTCAATTTCAAGGGGGCAACTATTAGTTACAAGACAGTTAAAAAAATTGTAATTAAAAAGATCTTGTAATATTTTCTTTTGCTTTGTATTTTATTTACATCTGTTATACTTCTATAACACACACATTACAAACTAGTACTATATATTTATTAAGATTAGAACCCTAAAAATAGAGTTTTTAATTATTATATACATTAATTTGCCTTTTGTATTAATTATCTACTAAAAATAAATATTTTTGCTTAATTATATTACAGATATCACTCTGTTTTTAAGATTATAATACTTATATAATCTAAGTATAATACTTTAGCTTATAATGTAAGGTTATCATAATGTATTCAATGAATTGTAATAATTCATAAC